CACAAGAATTCAAAAAGGATCTCCAAGAGATATTTATACACTCGTGTTCACTGCATAATTATTAAGAATAGTGAAGAGGTGGAAGCAACCCAAGTGTCCATCAACAGATGAATGGATAAAGAAAATGTGGTATATACATACAATGGAATATTACTTAGCCTTAAAAAAGAAGGAAATCTTGCCACATGCTACAACACAGGTGAAGCTTGAGGACATTATGCTAAATGAAATAAGCCAGTCACACAAAGGCAAATACTGCATGATTCCACTCATATGAAGTACCTAAAGCAGTCAACGCTTAGAAAGTAGAACGCTGGTTACCAGGCCTGCGGGAGGGAAAAGGGGTGTTGTTGTTCAATGGATATGGACTTTTAGTTTCACAAGTAGAAAAACTTCTGGAGATCTGTGCCACAACAATATGCATATAGTTAACACTATTGTGCCGTACACTTCAAAATGGTTACTACGGTAAAATGTATGTTACATGTTTTTGACCACAATATAAAGAAAGGAGATTTCAAATACAATATGTCCCATGGTAAGAAATCTCAGGAGAACTCCTTTAGGAGGTTTTAAGCTGTATTCAGAAAATCAGCACAGGTTCTAGCAGATCCTATAATTGGAAGCTTAACTATGGCTTTCACTGAAATGATGCTATGTACCAATGGAGTCATAAAAAAAAGAAAGAAAGGATTCTTGGAGGGAGTGGCCTTTGAGCTGGATGTTAAAATAGTAGGACTTCAATAGGCAGAAGAGTGGGGAAAGGGAAGGGTATTCCGAGTGAGGGGGGAGAAAGAGCAGCGTGTTTTTGCAGGGCAAGTAAACTGGTGTGACTTGTGGCGAGGTGAGTGAAGGTGGAGGTGGGAGGGGCGGCCTGGAGGGAGAGCAGGTGGGAAAGGGCGACAGGGGCTGATTTGTGGAGAGTTTTTAAACCTCAGGCGAAAGCGAGAGTTCACGTGTTTGGCAGAGGCAGGCACAGATCAGATCTTGCGGGGAGAAATCCGGGGAAGGACAAGCCCCAGGGAGGCGCACGTGTTAGAGCTGAAGGAGGACGGGACAAAGCGAGTTGGATGAAGGCAGAGCGAGGGCGTGAGCCGCCAGCGGCCGTGCTGAGCCCAGCACAGCGGCTCTCCCAGGCGGCGACCAGATTCCCCCGCAGCCGGGCTGATGCGCAGCCTTCCCTTGAGCCCCGCCAGGAAATCACCGCGAAATCCCTCGTGCCCATAAATTAAAGACGACCACGGTAGCAACAACAGATTGGGGGCAAGCAATAGTGGCCTCGCAGCTGTCCCCGCCAGCAGGGGTTTTTAACACCCCCTACCAGGGGCTGGAGAGAGACAACATCACGCTGTCTCCTAAATCAGCCTTGTGCTGTGAACCAACAGAAGGTCTCAGGGTGGGGGCCTGGGACCCCCGCTTTCCTGGTCGTTTTCTTGAGCAAATCAGCTCCACCTCCAGTGGGAGTGACGCCGAGGCAGCTGGGGCTGGCAGAGGGGAGAGCAGAGAACGTTCCTCTCGAAACAAACTTTGAGTAACTTTCTGTTATTGGAGCCTCAGGGACCAGCCAGGATGAGACACATATGCCAGACACAACTCACCCCTCACCTCTCCAGCAGATCTCTGAGCTCCAAGCTCCTAACTGATGACAACTGGATTTTAGGGCCAACAGTGATTGCGAGAATTTCGGAGATAGTGTATTTGAAATATTCAATTTCATTGACCCCCTAAATATCAGGAGATTTGTCAGACTGTGTGTTCCGAAGGCTGGTTCTGGAAACACGGGCCTAATACCAATCACAGCTGCTATTTATTGAACTCACGTACTAGGCACAGGGTTAATTTCGTGGATCATTGCGTTTAACTTTCACAGAGACTCTATATGGAGGTGCTATTGTTATAGTCCAATTTTACAGCTGGGGAGACAGAGGCTCCAAGAAGTTAAGAACTTTCCCAAAGTCGTGCAGCTAAAAGTTGCAGTGCTGATGCTGGAACCTGTCTGTCTGACTATGAAGCACCACAGAGAACACGTTTCTTTCTTTCTTTCTTTCTTTTTTGAGGAAGATTAGTCCTGAGCTAACATCTGCCACCAATCCTCCTCCTTTGCTGAGGAAGACTGGCCCTGAGCTAACATCCGTGCCCATCTTCCCCTACTTTATATGTGGGACACCTGCCACAGCATGGCTTGTCAAGCGGTGCGTCGGTCCCCACCTGGGATCCGAACCAGCAAACCCCGGGCCGCCGAAGTGGAACTTGCGCACGTAACTGCTGCACTACCAGGCTGGTCCCCAAAAATGCCTTTCTGATCAATGCTGGTTAACCCTCCCGAGGTGGCTGATAGGGCCCGGTGAGGCGTGTGAAGCACTCACGTTGGGCACAAAAAGGAAGGGGCACCAAAAACCTCAGAATCAGGAGAAATAGTATTTTAATGCAATGTTTTTAAAAATCAAAATTAATGCAAAAAAATTTATGGAAAAAGAGAGTATCAAAATTTTAAATAGAGAGAGAATCCAACCAGTGACTCAGGATGGGTGGGGTGGGGTGGGGTGTGGGTTCTCTGTGGGTTTGTCTCTTGTGAACTGAATCCCAGATTCCCGGAGTTGGTTGTGAGCTTGCTCATCCCTTCCCTCTTTCTTTAGGCTCTTACAAAGCTAAGCTTTCCTGCCTTCTTCCCTTCAGCTAAATTCCAGAGGAAGACTCTAGCAACTGAGTGATAGAGATTTCCATGCTGAACAGAGAGTGGGCCTGGAACCCCAGAGAAGGGATGTGAGTCAGCTTGCTGCGCCCTGCCTGGTGCGACTGCTGCCATTGCTGCTGCGACTGAGGGGACCTCAAGGGAGAGCCCGGGGCCCCTCCTGCATGGGAACCTCCGCCAACCAGAGGCTGACTCTGAGGACTGCAGGGCATTCAGCAGAGGGTGTCCGTGTGCCCTTGGGGTGGTCAGATGCCTGGCACGTGAACTTACTCCCTAATGAAGTGCTATGGGCCACTGGCCAAAAGGGAAGATGGCACATTTGGGTCTTGCGGAAACACGAAATGATTTTGCCTAAGCCCAGCTGTTGGCTTTGCCCACGCCTTCCCGAGGCCTTGGCTCCCAGTTCCCTGGAAGGTGGCCGGAGGCAGCCGAGGGAGATGCGGCAGAGACGGAGGAGCCACAGTGGCAGGCGCCACGGAGGGGAGAGCTCTTCAACCAGGCACAGAGCCGAGTCTCTGAGAGCTCCTTGGAGAGAAGAAGCAGAAAGTGCCCGTTCTCAGCAAATCTCCAACGAGGGCTAGGAATAGTTCCGGATTTAACCGGCTGGGGGCTTAAAGGGCCCTTCCACTGAGCAGCCGGGAGGGCTGTGGTCATTATCATGCGCTGTGAACACATGGAGGGGCTTCTTCAAGCGGGGAGACTGAATATTTCAAAATGAGGATTCTGCTTGAAGTCTATCGCAGGATGTGGGCTTTGGGGTCTGAAGTCTGGGGTTTGAGCTCGCTTCTAGGGTGACCAACCATTCCAATTTGCCTGGGGCTAAAAGGGTTTCCTGGGACACTGGACTTCAATGCTAAAACCAGAAAAGTCCTGGGTGAGTTGAGATGCGTGGGTCACTCTATTTGGACCCCATTCTAGCAGTGTTCCCCTCAAACTTTCCCTCTGTCCTTTCCACACAGGTAGAACCGAGATGCTGATAAGACCTGCCATACTCACCTCGAAAACTTCTGAGACTCCAAAGTGCTAACATATGTTTCCCACAGCACCTTGAACCTCTGATCACAGCCTGTCTTCTGCCAGACAGGCCTCTGCAGGCCTCTCCTCCCTCTCACTGTGAGCTCCTTGGGGGAGAGACCACCCTATTCATCTCTGCATCCCCAGAAACTGGGCCAGTGCTTGGCAAAGAGAAGATGCTTGAGAAATCTGTGCCACATGGAAAGTTCCTTGTAAAGCAGAGCACAGAGCGTTCTCATTGGTTGGTTGGCACTGTCATTTTCTGCCTGCCCCTGGTTAGTCCCATGAGGAGGTCCTCCATAGGTTCACACAGACAGATGTTGCCCCTACAGTGGCTGTCAGAAGGACATAGTGGGCAGCGGGGGCAGGAGGCACAGGCACTGCCTTGTTCAGGGCAAAAGGTGCCCGGTGGTGAGAGAAGCCGGAGCCAGCCCCGTGTGAAAACAAGGAAACAGTGGGTCCCCACCACGAAGGGGAGATGGACTCCAGCTGGGCTCCTAACACGCAGGCCAGCTCCATCCTCTGGCTTCTGGGCCTCCAGGGCTGAGCTGGGCTTTACCTGCACGCTGAGGTCCAGAGCTTGCCCTGGCCTGCCTGCCTCCCTGCCTCTTCCCAAGGCTGGTGATCCCTCAAGAGGGCTCCTCAGACAGGTGGTCTTCCCTGGGGGCCACCCAGGCCTTAGCATGCTGATCTGCCCCCTTGGCCTGGGCACGGCCCAGCTGGCCAGGGTGATACCTCATGGTGGTCTGCCCCAAATCTCAGTGCTTCAGCTCCCCCTCCTCCCTTGCCTCTCACATCCCAGCCCTAGCCCTGCTTCTCTGCCGTTAGGGTCCTGGAGGGTCCTGGCTCTCCTTGACCACCTAGGGTCCCGGCCTCAGTCCCAGCCCTCTGAGCCTCCATCTCAGCCGACTCCCCTGGTGAGCAAACCCTGTGGCTCTGGGACTGTTTGGAGCCGGCTGGGGCACGGTGGGGAGAATCGTGATGCAGAGGCAGCCCTTGCCAGCCTGCACCCAGACACTTCACCCCACATGTCCCCAAATCTTTGTGGATCCTGTTTCATTCTCTTGCTGGTACATCCTTCCTCAAGCCCAGGAGTGTTGGGCACACAGACATGGCCCCCATTACCAGAGAATCCTAGAACTCTGAGCAGAAGAAACCCTGAAGTTAATTTGTGCCTTCAGGTAAGTTAGTATTGTTTGCAATTCATGGTCAGAGCAGCTAGGCTCAGAGAGGGCAAACAATCTCCCCAAGGTCACACAGTAAAGGAATGGTCAGCTGTTCCTCAGTTACCTACCTGAACTCTCCTTTTTCCGTCTGGTTGACTTCTTCTCCGTCTCATTGGCAGTGCTCCCAAGGACCTCATAGTCCTCGCCTGGGCCTCCCGTGGCGTCTACCAAGCCTGGGCTGCTGGCCCCCATCTCCCTGGAGCCCCCAGCTGGGCCCGGATTGGGCCTGCGCCGGGCCTCCGAGACAGGGAAGTGCCAGTCGGGGGGCTGTGGAAAGGCGGGGTGCTGCTCAGTGAAGACGCGCTCCTCCCGGGGCAGGCTGTGTGGGGTGGCCGCCAGGCAGGAGGCCGAGAAGTCGGGGTACGCTGCTGTCGCTGTCGCCGGGAAGTCTGGTTTCTGGTGGAAGGAGAACGGGGTCGGCGGGTAGTGGGGGAGCCCGGAGACCCCACTGCCTTCCGACTGGGGATTTCGAAGGCAGCCCCACACAGAGGCAGGGGGGCGGGGGCTCCTCATGCAGCTGCTGGCCACGGGATCCATCTGCCGTCTGCCGCACGCCTCAGTCTTTTCGGTATGATTCTTATACTTTTTATATTAAAGTTTTTTTTAATGGAAAAAAAAATCAAATAAGAGAGAAAAATGTTCAACAGAAAATTCACCCCAGGAACCAAAACCAAAAACAAAACTAGTCTTTCCTTAAAGTACGCACATATGTGGCCAGCTACACATATGCGTGTGCACACACCTATGTCAGACTTCACTCCTGGCTTGCCGTCCCCCGACACACCAGCCTGCCTATTGGGGTCCCCTGTACGTGTATTTGTCGCCGATGACACTAAACATTGTCACTGTCCCGGCCCAGATGCGCCAGCTGAGCGCTCGTCCTGGAGCCCTGCGGAGGGCTGGACCAGGGCTGCCGAGACACACTTTTAAATCCTGCGGTGGGGAGAGAGTGACAAATTTCTGAAGTGAAATGTGAGAGAGGAGAGGGAGGGGTTAACCCGCGCACACACGATCCCCTCCAACCAAAACCCGAGCAGGGAACTATTAATCATCAGAAACCTTATATGCACATCTAATGGGATTTGCAGATGGAGACTTTTAAAGAAACATTGTCTGTATTTTTTTTTTAAGGAGGGAGAGAAGCACACACACACAACTTCTTTAATGTGCCTCCTGTAACACTATGAAGTTATTTTATTGCACTGTTAACAAAATTCCCCGAGTCTTGGATTTGGAAAAAGCCTTAAGTCAGATCCAGAATCCGTCAAGTGCCAAATTCCAGGGAGTGAAGCGGGGAATAAGCGTAAGAGACAAGTTTGCTGATTGCATTTGATTTAAGGGCCCTTCTACCGCTGCTTGCAAAAAAGGAAGGTGGATTAAAGGAAATCTTTTTTTGCAAGTCTCAGTGGCCCACTATGGTCTGTAATATAAAGAAAGACACACTCCAGAAAAAAATGGTTTCTTTCTGCCCAAAGTGACAGACTCACTTTCTCAGTAACTTAAAAAAACAAGCAGATTCTTCCTTCCGCTCTTTAACCCCCAACTTACATGCCAATTAGCCACACTCTTCTCTAGAGGGGTTTCAAGTCATTTTTCTCTGCGGTAAAGGAAAGGCTCTTAGACGAGGTCCTTGAAGTTTCTCCAGGCCTCCCCCTCCCTCCCCCCGGCTCCCTGGCCCCCTAACCTTCACCCACCTGCTTCCCCTGCCCCACCCCCAGAGGCCAAAGCCTCCATGGAATCCGGAGCACGGAAACAGGAATCGGGGGGTTCTCGTTCCCAAAGGAATTGTCTTTGGCAAAGCATCACCCGGTCTTCCTGGCTGGTGCCTGGCACAGGAGGACCAGTGGCCATTTCAACCAATCAGTCTGCTTAGTCCCCATGGTCTCTCTGGAGGATGACATTCCAAGCACACAGGGCCAGAGCTCCTCTCCCACTGAGTGTTTCCACGGCCCAGAGCAGCAAGATCAGGCTGAAGTGGGCATGAGCCCCAATAGCCGTGTCTCTGCTGGCTGGTTCTGAAGATGCCCAGGGCTCCCTGAGGAGAGGCCGCGGGCCTCCGTTCTGCAGCCCGGAGGCTGCACACACTCTCTTCGTGAACTAGGCATCCTGCATTCTGGAAAGGGCAGCCATGGAGTTGTAGGCCAGTAGAGGAGATGGATTCATAGCCACAAACCAGACTCAGCTCTCTGCTTTGTCCAGGACTTAGCTGTTGCATACACGTTTCTCCTCTCAACCTCACAACTCCCCTATTATGGGTACAGTAAGAATTATGTTCGACATTTTACAAATGAGAAAACGGAGGCTCAGACAGATGCCGTGGGCTGCTCAGAACCACAGCTAAGAAATGGCAGAACCAGGGGTTGCCCTCAGGTGTCCCACTGTCCAGTCTGGAGCAGCGTGATGCAGAGGAAGGAGCATGGACTTTGGGGTTTAGACAGGTGTGGGTTCAAATCCTGGGTCTGCCACTTTCTGGCTGTGTGCCCTGGGACAAGTCGCCTCACCTCTCTGAGCTTCTGTTTCCTCATCTGAGATGATAGCCAGAGCTGACACTCACCCACTGATCATAGCACCTCACACATATCCCCCCAAAGGATCGCCACAAAAGCCCTCTGAGGGCAGTGCTTGTCACATCACCTCCGTTTTTCAGAAGAGGACTCGGAAGCACAGAGAAACTGTGTAACCTGCACAAGGTCACACAGCTGGGGAGCAGAGGATCCAGGATTCTAACCCAGGCAGCCTGGCCCCACTGCATCAGGATGCCCGCCCCATAGACATTCGAGAATTTTAAATGAATCATTTATGTGAAGTGCAAAATAGGTGATAGATAAATGCGGCTCCCTTTCTAGTTTAGCTCATTCTCTTTAAGTTGATGATTCCCAAGGGGGTCTGTGGGACTGGGGAGCACTGAGGAAATTCTACAGAAACAGCCCTGTGAGGGCCCTCGAGGCGTCCCAGGCTGTGGGGCTCTGGAAGGAATCCATAGGAGGCTGGAAGGAAGATCTGGCCTGTCAGCTTCCCTAGGAAAAGCTCCGGGGGTCTGGCCCGCAGGCTGTAACCGGATTCCTGCTCTGGCTTCCACATCTGGCCCAGGGACCCCATCCCAGGGAGGCCCAGCGCCTGGCCCTTTGCCCCTGGAAGGGGTGGGCCCTGGGTCGTGGTGGGGTGGGCGCAGAGGTCAGGAGAGGCAGCGGGGGGGGCGGGGGGGCATGGCAGGGTGCTGTGCGCTCTGTGCAGGAGGCCCTGGTACCCCGGTGCCCCGCAGCTGCTGGCGTCTGTCAGCCACCCCGCGGGGCGCGGCCGGGGGCCTGCTGGCCTCTACATCTTCCTGACAGGCCCCTCTTCTGAGGCCAGGAAAAAACAACAAGGGTTCCTCCCCTCATGGCAACCCATTTGTTAGATGAAGGCCGGGCACCAGCACCTTTAACCTCCTCAAAGTCAGCATTTCCCTGTCAAGGCCCCACAGCCCGCGGGACAGAGATGGATGGAAGTGGCTGTTTGTGGAAAAAAGCCCTGTGGCTGTGCGGCCAAGGGGAGCAGGGTTTTCAGGAAGGGAGGGGACCCCGTTTCTAGCTGTTGTTGGGGGTGGCAGGGAGAGGAAGAGGAAAAGCGTGCGTCAGGAGGAGGGTCCCTGTGGGGCCCTAAGGAGGACGATCTGTGTGGCCACACCTGAGCCATCCCAAAGAACTTTTGGAATTTCCCCCATTGTGCGCAAAAGCAGGCACGTCCTGGCGCCACAGACCTGCTTCCGTGCTTGGCCACCCCACCTACCTGTGCCTGGAGTCGCAGGATGTCTGAGGGAGAACCTGGGGCCTAGAGGCAGAAAACTCGGGTTCAAGATGTGGCCTTGCCTTTCACAGGCCATGTCGTCTCAGGAAAGTCACACATACCCTTTTTCTGAGCCTCAGTTTTCTCACTGGCAAAACAGAGATGACGGTACCAGCCTTGTGGCTGTTCCGAGGATAAATGGACTGATGTCTGTGAAAAGAGTTGTGAAAGGTTGTGCACATGGGGAATTATTATGCCTTTTCTTTCCTTACTCTGCTGGACCACTGGGCAAGTCATGTCTCGATGGAGGACGAAGATGGCTCATCCAGGGCTGGCCCCGTGGCCGAGTGGTTAAGTTCTCGCGCTCCACTTTGACGGCCCAGGTTTTCGCTGGTACAGATCCTGGGTACGGACATGGCACCACTCATCAAGCCATGTTGAGGCGCCATCCCACATGCCACAACTACCAGAAGGACCCACAACTAAAAATACACAACTTTGTACCAGGGGGCTTTGGGGAGAAGAAGAAGGAAAAAAAGATTGGCGACAGATGTTAGCTCAGGTGCCAATCTTTGCAAAAAAAAAAAAAAGAAGATGGTCCATCCTAGCCCCTCACCACCTTCTACGGCAGCATAACAGAGGGTCAAGAGCATGGCCTTGGGAAGCAGGTTCAAATCCCAGCTCTGCCACTAGTAAGCAGAAAGGATTTGAATAACTTACTTTATCACTTGAACGTCAGTTTCCTCATCTGTAAAATGGGGATAAACACTTTCTTCTTTCCCCATCAGGTTGCTGAGAGAAGTGAGAAAGCTTTGGTCACAGCCAGGTCTACCGTTCTTAGTGGTACTATCTGGATGATGATGATGGTGCTGATGACAACATCTGAGATTTTTGTCTGAAAGGCAAATCCGGAAGGCCCTGTGAAATATTGATATGCCACCCAAGAGGGACAGGATGAAGCCATTAGTATTTTTTTTTTTTTTTGAGGAAGATCAGCCCTGAGCTAACATCTGCCAATCCTCCTCTTTTTGCTGAGGAAGACTAGCCCTGAGCTAACGTCCATGCCCATCTTCCTCTACTTTATATGTGGGACGTCTGCCACAGCATGGCATGCCAAGCGGTGCTATGTCCGCACCCGGGATCCCAACCGGTGAACCCCAGGCCCCTGGGAAGCCGAAGGTGCACACTTAACCGCTGCGCCACCAGGCCGGCCCCGAAGCCATTAGTATTAACTCTCATAGTACAACACAGTAAAACAGACGAGACACCTCTTCCCGAGCAAGACCTCAAGGGCTGGGACGGGAGACAGACAAGCTTTGAATATGGTGGAAATCGCTCTGGACTAGGCTCTTTACCGCCAGGCATGGGCTTTATCTGGAATGTATATGTCCTTTGCTTCTCAGAAGGCTTTGAGGCAGGGTCACTACTGCTCTTTAGGACTTTTGTGAGGTTCAAATAATAGGATGGATGGGACAGAGTTGAGTAAACCACGGAATACAGTTCTCATGACTGTCACAGCTGCCTGTGAGGTGGGGCCAAGACATTTCACCCCAGGGGACCAACGACGGGGTCTTTCCCTAAATCCCAGAAAACACTGAGTTGATAGAGACAGCTTTCTCAGATGAATGTTTTCTCTCGTGTATATGTTTTTAAACCTCTGGTGATGAAGGCCATCACTTGTCTGCTACCAAGATCATGGGCAGATGACTAGAAAACACAATAACATACAGAGCGGCCTGCATCTGAACCCTGGCTCGTGAAGGTCCCGTGACCTCGGGTTCCTTAACTGAAAGTGGAGGCTTGCTGTGTAGGCGACGTACAGGCTCTCAGGCGCTCAGTAAACATGCCCCTTTTGGGGCGTCTGTGCCTGAAGGGATTAGAGGCAGGCTGATCAAGGAAATGCTCTAAGTAAGGGCAGCCGGATAAAATACAGGGAGCCTGGTTAAGTACATCCCATGCAATATTTGGGACTTGAGCTAAAAAGTTATTTGTTGTTTATTTGAAATTCAAATTTAATTGGGTGTCCTTTTTTTTTCCTCCCCTAAATTTGGAAACTCTAATCAAAGGCAAAACTCATCTTCGAGATGGAGAAGGCTCTGGCCTTACCTTCTGAGCCAGGATATTTGCACTTTGACAGAAGGTTCTGGAAGGAAACTCTAAAGGGGGCATTCCAGGGAAGGT